GGCCGTGCGTGTCTGCCCCGGGGTGCCGGACGGAGGGACTGGCCGGCCACACCGCGCCCGGAAAGGCCCCGGCGCTGCCCCCGGAAAGGCCCCAGACTCGTCCAGCTGCCTGTGGCTTTATTTATAGGCCAAACAGACTCGCAGGTAGTGGCCTCTGCCCAGCCCCGGACTTCCCGGCCGTCCGGCTGCGTCTGGAACCGTCTGCAGCGTCCCGGGTCTCTGCCCTCCCGGCGTCCCCAGGGCCATGGGGCGTCTCCATGCCGGGGTCCCCCCGCCCGTCCCGCTCCGCACGGCCAGGGCTTGCTGGGAGGCGACAACCCACCGCTGCGGCGAGGCTCGGACGTGTCCCTGACCCCCAATTCTCTGTGGGGTTCCCCACTTCCTGCCCGCCCCTTTCATGACCTAAAAATGTCAGCAAGGATCCACAAAGCCCCGTCATGTCCACCCCAGGTGGGGTGGATGGGACAGCTCCGAGCTGGTGGGGCTGGTGGACCCACCCTGCTGGCCCCAGGCCGTGGACAGGCTCCTGAGCCCCTGACTGGGCCCCTGGGGTGTCCCACGGGCGGCGCCTGCCCGTGAGGCCGCGGGGGTCAGAGAGCAGCGTGCAGCTTCACCCCAGAACTGCGGGGTGCATGCCCCCGGCCGCTGCTGGCCGCTGGCGCCGGTCTCCTGGCCAGTCTGGCCCTGCCCCGGCCAGAGCCTGCTGACGCCCAGGACTGTCCGTGCCGGCCAGGTGCGCTGCCCTGGCCCTCTGGCCTCCAGCCGGGCTCCGGGGCGCAGGGGCCTTGGCGTCTGGGCTCAGCCCACGCCCAGCAGGCGCTGTGGACAGGGGTGGGCGCCCGGTGGGCTGCTCCCGGCGACCGAGAGCAGAGCCCCGCTTGGGGGCTGGCGCGGCGGGGGGCCTGGTCTGGGGGCTCTGGGGCCGGGGTGGGAGAGCTGGGGCGCCCTGCAGCGGTGCCTTGGCCTCAGTTCCCGCCCTGGGATTCCTGGGGTGTGTCGGCGGCTCTGATTCGCCGGAGGCGGAGCGGGATGCTGAGGGCAGGGAGGCGGCTTGAGAACAGGAACTGCGGCCGGCGGCAGGTTCGGGGGAAGGTCACCGCGTCCTGGCTGCCCCGCTGCAGGGCAGGGTGCCGGCGGGGGCGCACTCCGCCCTCAGCGCTGGCCTTCTCCCGGGCGCGTGGGCAGCGGGTGGCCCTCACCCGACTCCCGGCCAGGGTCAGCGCTGTGCCCGCCGCCCTGGGCAGCTCCGGCCTC